GGTCACTGCTGTCACCTGTGCCAGTGCCCCGGGCAGCAGCAGGGCAGAGGGCAGGTGAGAAGGGCAGATCAGCAGTCTCAGCCCCTGGACTCGCTCCATGGCTGCTCTGAGAGCTGTCACTGGCTCAAAACCCTCCCTGGCCATGTGTTATTCCCTCTTCACGCTGGGCACCTGCTCAGTGTCCAGGTTAAGCAGTGCAGATGCAGGTCTGGGTTGTGCTGCTGCTCTCCAAGCAGGTCTGTGCTGAGCCTTTCCAACAGCCCGAGCTGAGAAGGTTTCTCTGAGTGTGGCTCAGCCTGCAGCTGCTGCTGCCAGCAGTGTGGTGATTCCCTGGAATGAGGGAATTCCCTGCTTCCCTGCACAGTGCAGGGCTTGTTCTGTGTGAGAGGGGAACTGCAGGACACGGTGAGACGTGGGGGCTCAGATGTTCTTGCTGCTGAGCCTCTTGCCATGAGAAGTGTCTCCCAAGCTGGGCAGGGCATATGCATCCTCTGCTGCAGTCAGAATACCTTACACATTCATTTCCACAGCTTTTAGAAACAAATAACTTCATAAAGCATGTATAGAATGAAACATTGCTTGCGAGGAGTTTACCCATCTTCTGATAACAAAGAGGATCATATTTGTTCATCTCATCTGTCTGTGTCTGCACACGTGAATATGTAAGCTAACTTATTCCTTGCATCAAACTCTGAGCAATATCAACTTACTTCTATTAATAACAAGCAATACCAGTTTACTTCCATTAATAAGTTGAGCAGTGTCAGTTCCCTTCCATGAATAACTCTTGTAAAGTACAGCTCTGTACAATTAATCAAAGCTCTTTGGAAAAGTGCTTCTCACAGAATGCAGTGCTCAAAGCACAAAAATAAGGCAGCTGACAGGTTTGATGGAAATGAATCAGCTAAAATAGCAGATGCAGTTCTCTCAAGGTGCTGTGCTTCTGCACAGCATGAATTGGACACCTTGCTCAGCTTCCAGATTAATTCACTTTATCCAGATACAAAGTAGGTGGATCCTGATATGCTGCACTGGCATCTCTGCTCTCAGGTAGTGAAGCACCAATTGTTTTATCTTTTGGAATGAATGTGGCAGGCTCAAGGCTGAACCTGCAGGATTTTGCTTATTGTGAAAGTGATACCCCAAGCTGAGAAACCTGCAGAGTGGAAAAGTGAGGAGTGTTTTCAACTCTCTCTGTATTGGCTGCTTTATCAAGCTGGTCTTGAACTCTGCTTTATATCTGGTCAGGATTTTGGTAACTTTTTGCCAAAATAGTTTTGTTATTATGTAACTATATACTTATGGACACTTTTTACTCTAATAGTTTATTCTACATGTATAAAATAACTGATACAGGTATAGCCTGCATTTTAATCAGTGGTATAGACAGTGGTATATGATGAAAATTTGGGTACAGTTATGTTGCTTAAGTGTGTGTTCCTTTGAAACGATGGTATTTGGCCCAAGTGTGGGGTTGTTTGGGATTTTGTTTGCTTTTTGGATTTTTTTTGGTTTTTTTTTTTTTTATGCTGTAGGGTAAGGCACGCTCTTGGCAGGTCTCTCCTGGAGCCCTGTAAAGCAAATAACTTTGAGGACTATCCAAGAAGCTGCTGATGTTTCCCGGGAAGGTTTTCCTGTGGGATGTTCGTGTCAGCTGATGCAGCCCCTTGGGGAGTCTGCCTTCCTCGCCGATGTGCCCGGGAGAACCTTTGTCCGAGGGGCCACCGCGGCGAGGGAGAACCCTTTGTGCAAGAACAAAGGAGGATTGTGCCAGAGAGGGAGGGGAGGGGGCTCAGGGGCTCTTGGAGGCACTGCAGGGCTCTACTGACAGCCACATTTCCCTGTAAATCTCCCCTGTGATCCGGGCTCTGTGTGGGAGCTGGGCGGGAGATAAAATCTGCTTTTATTGTGTGCAAATGCTTAGCGGTGAATATTTGATAGGGTTTCCTCAATTAAAACACAATGCCTCTTGGACTTCTGCAGCCTAAAGCAGAAAGCCTGGCAGCAGGCTGGACTGTGGTGCTATTCCCGTGCTTTAAAAGTTAACTATCAGCTTGTGCCTTACTCCTGAAGGCAGGGGGGCCTTGGTGCTCGTGGGTGGAGAGGGCGAAAGTGCAGGAAATGTAGAAGATGAAGCCTGGCAGTGGGTATTGCTGCTCGGGCTCCAAAGTTTGGCAAAACGTGCCTTTAGTGTAAACAATACAGGGTCCATACCCCAGACACAGCCCCCAGTGGAGCCTGGGCGTGTTTTCAGGGGGAGCAAACCTCAAAGAGCGTCTTGGCTCCCACCTGCAGCAGAGCATGCAGAGCATGCAGAACATGCAGAACATGCAGAACATGCAGAGCATGCAGAGCATGCAGAGCATGCAGAAGCAGCCTGCTCCCCTCGGAGCGGGGCAGACCCCCCTGTGCAGCCTCTGGGGCAGAGCAGCACCAGAACTGCCCCGTGGGTCTCCAACCCCTGCAGGTCAGCACCAACACTGACACTGAGGCTGCATGGGAAAAGGGAAAAGTTCTCCAGGTCCTTCTATTCCCTCATCAGCTGGCTGCAGCCCAGGAATTGGTTGTAGCTGAATTGGTCGATCAGGATCAGAGGAGTCCCCTTGGCTGGGATTTCAGATTATTTGTTGTCATTTTCTGTTTTGACTGAAATGGATCTGTGTCCCCCAGCAGAGCTGCAGGCCAAGCCCTTCATGTGCTGTGGTGCTCCATTTGGGGGTGGGTTTGCTACTAATGCCCCTGGCAGCAGTTTCATGAGGAGATTTGGGCGGCAGTGTCCTTACATCCTGCTAGAATTGCTTGGATAAAGACAGTTGGAGTTGTTTGTGCCAAGTGTGGGTGAGCAAGCAGCTGGGTTGACCAGAGTGAAGGTGGGAGGGAGATAAAACGGGAGACCAAAGTGGGCTTGTAACAGGAAGGGGTGTCTGGATTGCTGAAACCAGAACCTGAACTTCATAAAATAGCAAAGGGAGAAAGAGGCTCCAGTGAGAGGATTTGGTGTCAGGACAGGAGATTAAGAATTCCACAGCTTCAAAGAAGTATGAATTGCTGGTGTGTCAGCCTGTAACCGTCAGCGTTAATTTTGGGTGGCTGATGTAACTGCTCCTCCTCAGGCTCAAACTGCCTGTCCATGGGCAATTTCACCCCGAGTGCACAGGGCAATGCCTGCCAAGGGCAAGGGCACAGGGGCCCTGTGTCCTCACAGCTGCTCTGGTCTCAATATCAGGGGGTGGCTACCTTTGAGTCACCTTTTTAATTACTATACCCTTCGCTTGGGGAGTATTTATAGTTCTGTGGTGTTGTCAGATGTGTCTGTAGCCTGTTAAATATGGGACAGCAGCACTGAATGGATTAGATTGATTGTGTCTCCAGGCCCACAGTGGCCTGCAGTGGCTGGGGGGGTGATGGTGACAGGGGTGACAAGGTGCCCGTTGCTCCCTGCAGCACCCTGGGAGCTGCTGGCTGGTGGCACCAGTGCAGCTCAGCTCTGGCTCCATCCTGGTGGTGTGTCCGTGCTCTTTGCCTGGACGTCCGTGGGGATGGGCACGTTTGGAGAGCGAAGAACTGCGTTTGTTGTCATCTTTGGAGAGCGAAGAACTGCGTTTGTTGTCATCTTTGGAGAGCAAAAAACTGCATTTGTTGTCATCTTTGGAGAGCGAAGAACTGTGTTTGTTGTCATCTTTGGAGAGCAAAAAACTGCATTTGTTGTCATCTTTGGAGAGCGAAGAACTGCGTTTGCTGTTCTCTTTGTGTGAAGCTGACGGAACGTTTTGCGTAAAGGGCTCAAATAACCCCAGTGCTTGCAGTAGTTGGGGCATGTTTTGTAAGCCAAGTCCTGTTTCCCTTGCAGGCTCCGAGGTTTGATGGTGAGCGGGAAGCTGGCCCAGGATGAGTTACTGGAGTCTGGACAAGAAGAGCTGCCTGCAGTACTGCCGGCACTTCCTGGCGGACAACGGCGCGTTCCACGGTGAGTCACGGCTATTCGCGTTTCGGCGCTGCCCCGGCCGCTCGGTATCCACGCGCGTGTTTGCGGGGACGCCGCTGCCGGCCCGCGGAGCCCGCGGAGCTGCGGGGCCCGGCCGTGCCCGCTCCGTGCGGGGCCGAGCCCGGCCGTGCCCGCTCCGTGCGGGGCCGAGCCCGGCCGTGCCCGCTCCGTGCGGGGCCGAGCCCGGCCGTGCCCGCTCCGTGCGGGGCTCGGGGCGCGCCCGGGGCGTGCGGGACCCCGGGAGCGGCGGCGGCAACGGCGGGACGCGGCGGCGCC